GGACGGCTAGCGCAGATAGCCCTCGTGTAGCTTTGCGCGAAATTCCAAAACAAACAAACAAACAAATACCTCAAACCAAAACTGTAAACACACCTTTTTTTATTCATAAACACGGTGACAATCGTAATTAATGTAATACAACGATATTACGACATTGCTTTTGTCAGCTCTGAACACAGAACAAGAAGTTTTAAACTGTTATATATATTGTGTACCATTTCACTTCTTGGCAGGATTAGCATAATCCGTGATTTCTTTATCTAAATGCTAAAGGATTAGCATAATCCCTTATTTCTTTATCTAAATGCTAAAGGATTAGCATAATCCGTTATTTCTTTATCTAAAATGCTAAAGGATTAGCATAATCCGTTATTTCTTTATCTAAATGGTAAAGGATTAGCATAATCCTTAATTTTTTTATCTAAATGCTAAAGGATTAGCAATATCCGTTATTTTTTATCTAAATGCTAAAGGATTAGCATAATCCGTAATTTCTTTATCTAAATGGTAAAGGATTAGCATAATCCGTTATTTCTTTACCTCAGTGCTAAAAACTTTAAAATACGTAAACATATAAACGAATGAAGAGTTGACATGAAGCACGCGCTGTACGCCATTCCCGACAAAACTTAGTTGCTAAAGGTAATCTATTGACAGATATGCAGCATTTTAACTGAAAAGGCCTATAGCAGTCAGTGTTTCACAACGTTTTCGGCTAGAAGGCTACAAATATTACAGATTTCGGTTTGTTGTTTCCAACGCAGTCTTTACTTTTAATGTTAATTTGTGCTTAATAATTAAAATATGATTATTACTAATCACATACACCACGTTTATCTATTCCACGTTGTAAAAAGAAATCTAACAGCTGGTAACAAGTAGAGAATACAGCAAAAAATAATTCATGTTTCGTATCTTCTTAATCGGTCACTTTTTAAAAATTATTTTCATATCTTTATTTTACTAACTTTCAGGAAACCGCTGCGCCTGCGCAAATTACCTTTGTGGTGTGTCTGGGAACAACACATTTAATGTAGATACTACGATAAATAAATATTACATATTTAATTTTATAGATGTGAACAATTTGGTCTAACTGTATTTCATCTCGCTTCCATAATTCCTTCCTGTTTTGTCCGGTAGGTGGTAAGTATAGATTTCTAGCTTTAGTCCCTTGGACGAGTTTTGTTTTTATATAATGTTATTTATTAAATGAAAACAAAACCCTACAATATTCTATTTTTGTCCGGTAGGTGGTAAGTATACTATTTCTAGCTTTTGTCCCTTGGATGAGTTCTGTTTTTCAAAAATTCCGCAAATCTCCTGTAGAAAGAACGAAATCAAATGCTTTGTAGAAAGATAACCATTACAAGTATTCTAGAACAGTAGAATTCATATCGTTCAAATAGAACTGCGGTACTTTATTTTTCTCTCGTTCCGAAAAAGAAAAAATAAAGAAAGTAAGCGAACTATTGAACTACTAGTACCAACTACATGACTTCTGTAAAACTTGTATTCAATAAAACTTGTTCAGTTTGGAAAGTAACAGTGAGATTATCAACTAACACCGAACAATATAAACGTGGTATAAACATTGGATATATTGTCCGTTTGTTGTCCACCAACAGAACAAAAGCGTCAATATGGAACTCATTGCCAAATGGTTGACTTTTTATCTTTGTGAATTTATATAGAGAAATTAAAATAAATATGAAGATTAATTTTTAAAAAAATAATTGTTTAATATCACAGAATTCGCTAAATAAATATCATATAACGTTTTATTATTAATTATTATATTTTATTGCATTAGTGGTGTTATTTTCAAAACGGAAAACACCCTAAACATTACAGAAATGTTATAATACGTGATATCATCACCGTGTTAATCAGCTCAAAAACGTGTGAGAAAGGTAATAGAATTTTGAATGTTAAATGAATATTTTATTTTTCAACTTCGTTATTTACTGAGAACTAATATTATATAATGTCTAATAAAGAACAATACTTACTGAATCATTTAGTGAGAGTACAATGAAACGAACCCCGGTTACACCCTTCATTAAATAGGCCTAATTCAACCGTGTGATGCAGGATATGTATGTGATAACATGTCCCACTAAAAACTTAGCCTACATTCAAGCGAGGCGTTTACTACTTACCCAGTAACAAGGAGCTCCTGGAATTATTCGGTTTACACATTTACTCTGTTCATGAAAATCATCAGGCCTCTCAGCAGAACAATCGTCATTGAAACGAAAACGAGAAAAAGATCAACACATTTTCGGAGGTTCGAGTTAACACTATATCCAAAAATTAGTAAAATATGTATACCTGTTTCTACCTGTGCTGCCTGCCTGCATTACTATACAGATTTGTCCATGCTCGTATCTTGCTTACAGTGCTGACCTCTGGTGGCTAGATCGGTAAGAACCGGTTCTTAACGAAGCAAGTCTGCGAGGGATGAAGTAAGCTTAGTCAAGAAACCCACAAATGCTAAACGGGCGGGGTGATGGGTGGGGGTAGAAAGGGAGCCTTCATGGTTGATCTTTCTCGTTATTTGAAGCCAAAGCAAGCTGATATGACTATAAAAGGCAGCGCGTGCCTACTGGCAGCACGTGGTTCCTCTCATGACCAACCACTGCTTACCTGAGAGAGCCAGGAGTTGTGTGGCAAGCCTGGAGCACTCACGCTGACTCGAAATCCTAACTTGATCTGCAGCTAATGTTTAAGGTAGGCTGCGGTTTCTACTTTATTGTCGCCCACGCCGCCGACGGAACTGATTGGCACTCTTTCATTTTTCGTAACATCTGAGGACGTTCCTGTCATTTTACCAGAAACCATTCCTTTTGGCGATATCAGTCTCGTTCCGCGTAACAGCTCTTTAACTAATTATCCAGTTCTATAAAACTTCAAATTTAGAGCAACTTCTGAAAGATGATAATACGTCTTCATCAGATATGGACGATCATTTGAAAGATGAAAGCTACATTTGTGGATTCTGTCAATAATCTAGATCTTACCACAAAGACGGTCTAGAAAAAAAAAAGTTAAAATGCAACAACATTTTTTTTTTTTGACAAATTAGATTATAATTATTTATCGAATTGAGAATTTGTGACTTAGAAAAATTAAGCAGGTGATTAATTAATCCGGGCACGAAGACAGTCACATTTAGGACAGGTGTTCCTGTAGGTGGCGTTCTTTTTTTTTTCTGTTACAGAAATGTTTATCTAGAAACGGATTTCAGTAGGTGGAACTTTTTTGGGAAAGTTTAATCTATTGTTGAGATTAACTGTCAACTACAGAAGAAAAAAAGCATTTTCCTATCGGGAACTTACATCTTCAAACTCACAATTATACAGCAGTGTCACAACTAAAGTTAATTTTCCATATAGAAGATAAGAAAATATTGAACGGACAATTTCAAGCATTAGTTTCGAAACTTAAGTCAGTTTTCAGTGAATTTGTGTCTACGACATAGAAAATAAGAAAAAATAGTGAACGGACAGTTTCAAACATCAGTCTCGTAATTTGATTTAATTTCCAAGTCAATGTACATCTACGGCACAGAAGATAGGAAAAACAATATTGAACGGATATTTTCAAGCATTAGTTTCGTAACTTAATTTAATTTAAGCGAATGTACATCTACGACATAGAACACAGGAAAAATAGTGAACGGAGATTTTCAAACATCAGTCTCGTAATTTGATTTAATTTCCAAGTAAATGTACATCTACGGCACAGAAGATAGAAAAAACAATACTGAACGGATATTTTCAAGCACTAGTTTCGTAATTTAATTTAAGCGAATATACATCTACGACATAGAACACAGGAAAAATAGTGAACGGAGATTTTCAAACATCAGTCTCGTAACTGAATTTCAATCCTAGATGAAATTACAGCTGCGGCGTAGAAAATAGAATAAAATAAAAGCAATCAAGTTTAGGAATAACCCGTTTTAAAGAACTAATCTGAAAATATATTAAAATCTATATTAACCTTCAAGCAGAACAATTATTCTTAGAACATAATAATTTATACATTCTAATTAAAAACGCTAAATTCCAAGTTTGTTTTAATAAACATATATTATTTCGTTTGAAAAATTGTTAATGCTGCGAAATAAGGGAAATTCAAATTCTCGAATTTATTGATCATTTTTTGTTGTTGTTGTTGTTTTAACTGAGCGTCTGTCGTCCTTGACTAGAGCTCAGCAAGAGTCTTTGGCTGAACGTAAAATTTATGGAAAACGTAAAAATATTTCATCAGATAAAACGTCCCACCTCTACAGTCTTGGTACACCGAAATAACCTAACAAGCTTTACATTGTGGTGGACTAAGTTTATTTATTCTCATTTATATTTACTCTGTCATCTAGTAACAGTTGTTCAGTTCATCGTGATGAAGGGCTTTATTTACTCTGTCATCTATTAACGATGAGTTGAACAACTTCCTTCATCACAACTGTTAATAGATGACAGAGTAAATAAGGGTTCAATTCATCGTGATGAAGGACCTTATTTACTCTGTCATCTATTAACAGTTGTTCAGCTCATCGTGATGAAGGACCTTATTTACTCTGTCATCTATTAACAGTTGTTCAGTTCATCGTGATGAAGGGCTTTATTA